TATGTTGCACATTAGTGATGTAACGAATATTCGCATTCGCATTCGCATTCGCGAATATTCGCATATTTTTGCATATTCGCATTTGCATTCGCATTCGCAAAATTTGTGCGAATGTTTTACGAATATTACACAGCTTGCATTTAGCTCGTTCAGTATCGAAAAGTGGTGAAAAATAAGTCCATATTTCGCTATAATTTGATTTACTCATAGTAATAAATAGCTAATCACACTTTAACTAAAAATTCACTTGTATTTGTGCACGAGCAGAGCAGGGCAAGTGGAGTGACTTGTGTCCCGTGAAATTTTTATTGGAACTATAACCAGAGAACTAAGTTCTCTGCTATAACTTTCTCTCTATAGCAAGTCAAATTTGATTATAACAAGAGAAAATAAGATCGAAAAACCTGCTTTCTACGTTTTTGGCCCGGACGTGACTATAAATAAATACCTTTTTAAACGACCCCTCAATAAACTTAACCGCCTACAATAAACTTCTTTACAATAAATACAACTGTTTCACATCTTTACTTTAACAAATATGATAGAATGATACTGGACAATTTAAAGCAGTTAAAAATGACAGACTTTTTCCAATTGCCTACACACCTAGCGCAAATGAGACTGCCGGCAGTGCCGGAGACAATTAAAATTGCCAAATTAAAAAAAAACTGAATATTCGCATTCGCATTCGCATTCGCGAATGTCGGTGGCATATATTCGCATTCGCATTCGCATTCGCGAATGTTTAAAAAATGACATTCGTTACATCACTATTGCACATGCATGATGTAGAACATAATATAATCATTTGGCTTGACAACTGTGCGGGCCAAAACAAGAATTGGTCACTGTTCTCACATTTAATATACATTATCAATTCTAATATATTTGCAGCACAGACAATTACCTTAAGATATTTTGAACGAGGTCATTCCTTTATGTTAGCTGACAGTTTTCACCATCAGGTGAAGCAGTCTTTGCAGCGAATGAAAAAGGTTTATGACTTCGCTGATTTTGTGTCTTGCGTTCCGTCAGCTAATTCTGTAAAGGTTGAGACCAAAGAAATGAAGCTTGGGGATTTCTTTGTTTGGCCTGACAACTCATCAATTTACAAAATAAACCATACAACATCACGAACCTACTTGAAAGACATGGTTGAAGTTGTTGCCAAGCGAGGTATCTTTAATTTATTTTATAAAACAAGTTTTGTTTCCAACGAAACAAAAGAATTAAATTTTTTTAAATTTAAAGTAGCCAAATCTGGCTTCAAAGAACCTGTCAGCATTTCAAAACTAAGAGGAATTACAGAAGAAAGGAAGCTAGCGATTTTGCAAAATTTGGTTACATTAATTCCTAAAAATCGAAGACAATTTTGGCAGAGCCTTCCCGTCAATGATGCAGCCGCAGATTTAAGATCGGAGTTTGATGATGTTTAATAAGTGGATTTTGTGTTTTTTTAATAATTAATAATCTGTTTTGACTAATTATTTGTTTTTCAATAAAATGTAGAGTTAAGCTTAATGATGTTTTAAGAAAGTTCTTAACTAATAAAGTTAATAAAACGAAATGATTTTTGGTGTCACCGTGCTTTCCGTTGAAGAAATATTACATTACAAAGTAGTAACCTCAAACTAATTGGAGTTACTGCTTTTTTATGTAATTCATTCTTAACGGTTGTAATAATATATTTTGCTTAGAAGCAGTATCCGCCATTTTCATTAAAATTTATAAAAATAGCTTACAAAAAAATAAACATATTCAATGATATCAAAAATAACTACAACACAGTTAAACAATTCCGGAATCCATAAATAAATATACGATGACTCAGCCCTGTTTATTAAAATCTGCATTATCTCGAAACGTACATTTGTGGAGATACTGCGTTTTTGCTTAGGACGTCAGTATATTTGTAAATAACTTTATGAATAAATTCAGAAAAGCAGAAGGAGAAGATGGAATAACAGCTGAAACACGCAAAGAAATGGGAGAATTAGGGACGAAAGTAATGTTTAGAATTTGCAATGAGATCTGGAATACCGGAAAGTGGCCAAATGATCGGGGTAAACTCATGTTTATTCCCATATATAAAAAAGGTTCACCGACAGATTGCAGTAATTACCGTACAGTAGTATTGATATCACACGTGAGCAAAGTACTTTTAACCATTATCAATGAAAGACTAAAATCGATTATCTTACCACAAATTCCCCAAGAACAATGCGGATTCGTCCCAAGTAGAGGTAAAAGAGAACATATTTATGCTTTGTTAACGATTCCAAGGCCTTCGATGCCGTAAAATGGGATAAAATATGGCATATACTTAAAGAAATGGGTACGCCAGAACATCTAAGAACTGGAACAAATTATGAATAGGCTAGGCACGGTGAGTGCGGAATATGGTGTGAAAATAAATATGCAGAAAACTAAAGTGATGATTATCGATAGAATCAGAAACAACCAGGCAAAGATAAGAATCATGGCAGGTTACGAAGTGGTCGGGCAATTTAATTAGTTAGGCTCCGTTATTACTAACAGTGGAGGATGCGAAGACGAGATCCGTCGACGCATCACAATGGCCAGATCGGCAACAGCCAAACTCACAAAAATTTGGAAGAACACTGACATCACAAAATTACGCATTGTTCGAGCATTGATATTTCCTATCGCCACCTATGCTTCAGAAACTTGGACAGTAAAAAAAGCCGATTCACGGCGTATAATGGCATTTGAAATGTGGGTCTACTGTAGAATGTTGCGCATACCATTAACCGCCCATCGCACAAATAACTCAATTCTAGCAGAACTTAAAATAAAAACTAGACTCAACCAAAATATACTGAGATATTTTGGACATATAACTAGAAGAAGAGAAGGCATGGAGCGAATGATAGTTGAAGGTAATATTGCGGGTAAAAGATCCAGAGGAAGATCTCTAGTACGATGGTCGTACTAAATAAAGGAGATGACTGGTTACTCATTCTCCGAATCAAAACAACACGCACAGGAGAGAGATAATTGGACACAAATAGTGAAACAAATTACATGACGCCACAACATCCTTACGAAGGAGAAAATATTGAGGAGGACATGTAATGGGAGTAAACCAAATTTTAATTCAAGATAAAGTAGATAACAGAAATGCCAAAAGAAAATATTTTCAGAACCACATTTATAATAAAAACTAGCTGACCCTCCGAACTTATTGTTCGTATCGACTTAAAATTAAATAATGTATCACAATAAATTCAATAAGCTCCTCTTTCGAGTCTGTTAAGTAACAGAAATTTCCGGGTAATGAAATAAATCTGGTCGAGGTGTCTCGACTTTACCATTTCCAATATCTAACAACTGCTTCGAAAACACGATTGCACTTTGATCTTGTTGCAAAAACACTCGCATGTTATTTGTCAATTGAAGCGTCTCTACATACCACCACAAATTTGATGATGTTAGGCATGCGTTTAGTTCGTCTGCAGCAGTTAATTGGGGAATAATTATATTATTAAATAAGGTACTTGTTGAAAATAGAACTACGCCCCCACTAAAAATGTTTTTGATTGTCACGAATATTTTTTAAAGTTCTGTCCAGTTCCAATGTACATTCATCCCAAACGATTAATTTGCATACCTGTCAAATCTTCGTCATTGCTCTAGTTTTGGCGATGTTGCAATCTAGTGTTACATTAATTGGTATATTTAATGGTAATTTCAAGGCAACATTTGCAATTCGTTCGCCTTCCAATAAAGTTGATGAAGTCAACGTTAGAACTACTGCGATCTAATCCTTGCCAATAACAATAAAATTAGTAATAGTAGTTTCCAAAATTAGTTTACGGATTTAATATCAGATGTGGCTATTTGCATCCATATGAAGATGAAGTCATGTTAGAGTTGCTTCCTAAGACAAGAGATTTATTTTCACGTTCAGAGCGACTGTGAATACCACTCTGAAGAACCCTTTTAGGGCAAAATACGTATAAGCGGTTACACAGCCGCACTATACGTGAAATCAAATCTTAACTGTCTTTTCCTTTTAAAATTAGTAATGTTTTTTCTGTTCATCCCTAGTATCAAGGAAGTAAATTCCACCAGATCGGTTGTTGTTGATTCAATTATAGAAAATTTGTTTGAACTATTTCGACAAATGTTTCAGTGATAAACTGTTCTTCTCTTTGTAACTGTTGTTCTCTTTTGTAAAGTCACAAAGGAAATGAATAACATTTATTTACTGTCAAATATTAAGGGTGTGTCATAAATTTTCTTTGAAAGATATATTAAGCTACATAAAAAACTATGTTTTGATAATAACTAAAATAAGAGACAGACAAAACAATTGAATTAGCATACTGCGGGTCTCATAATATTCGTCTATTTAAGATTTGATTTTATTCTATTTTATTTTACTTTATTTCAATTTATTCCAATTAATTTTATTGTTTTTGAATTTAATTTTATTGCATTTTATTCTATTTGATTGTATTCTATTCTATTTTAATTTAATTTATTTTATAATATTCTGTTTTCTTCTCCTTTATTCCATTTTATTCTAATTTATTTTAATTTAATTTACTTTAATTTAATTTTTTATTATTTTACTCTATTTGATTTTTTATTCTATTTGATTCTATTTTATATTATGTTATTCTATTTTTATAATATTTTATTCTACTTATTTAATTTTATTCGAATTTATTTTATTTTAATTTAATTTTATTTTATTGTATTATCTTCTATTTTATTCTATTTTATTTTACAATATTTTAATTTAATTTTGTTTTATTATATTCCATTTTATTCTAATTTATTTTATTTTAATTTTATTGAATATTATTTTATTTTACTTTATTTTGATCTATTTTATTTTTATTACTATAGATATAAATAGCTGAAAATAGAGAAATATTCTGAAGAAACGAAATAAATATATTGCACATAAATTTAAATCTATGTATGTATATTAATTCTACAGTTCGTTTATTCTCTTCTTAATTTTTCAGAGTTTGTGCCTTTACTGGTGATTATTTTTGTGATATTTGTATGAGTACTGAACTAGTTCAAATTCCTGCTAGAATAATTCACAATTGGGACTTCAAAGCCTATCAGATATCCAAAAAAGGAATAAATTACTTAAACGAGGTTAAGGATCATCCCATTATTGATTTTAAAGTGAGTTGATTGTTTTTTATTTACGATTAGCCATTAATAACATTAAATGAGCAATAGTAACATCAAGTTAGTGTGAAAAGTATATTTTTCATATGTTAGACTTAGGTTTAAATTTAAAGCTTGGTTTTAAAAATGTCTTTTTAGATTTTATTAAAATGTGCACTTTAATAAGCTTTCTAGATACATACGTGTATTATACAGGTTTTTTCAAAAAAGGACAGAAACACCCTTTCTAGGAGAGGTAAAAACTGAAAAGTAATTGGGGTTTCCTCAGTAAAAATTGTTTGCAACGCTTTCCGTTTTCAAGATAAAGGCCGTTGAAGAAAAAAATGTTACGATATTTTTTACGATTTTGCCGAAACTACTGGCAAGATTATTTTAATGAAATTTTTGTTTTGGAAGGTAATGTTTTGGAAGCTGATACATCCCATGAATTTGTTTTCATATCTCACTCTCATAGAGGGCGTTAATTACAAGGTTCGTACAAATTATTATTCAACATAACTTTTTTAAGGGTAGAATTATTAATCAAAATTTCAAGTGAACTTAAAAACTATACAATTTTACACCAAACTCTTGAACTACTCTAAAACTCGATACTATGTACCGTTTTCGGAATTCGGAATTTTGATTTGGAAATTGTGAAATAATAACCGATGTTGGTAATGGTAAAGTTATTAACTAAAAAAATCACAAGCAGAAAATTAAAATAAAGACTAAGAACATAAAATAAAATTCAATTAGAGTAAGTGTTCAAAATGTCCTCCATTTTCACGAATGCACAAGTCTATCGTTTTTTCTAAAGAATCCATTAATCTTCTAAACGCTCGGGGATCAACTATGATATTGAATTCTGTCTTCCACTTCTTGACGTGAATTTACCTTTATAGCATAGACTTTTTCCTAAACATACGACCAAACTGTATAGTCCAAAGGATTAAAATCGCATGAACGAGGAGGCCCATGAAACGGAGCTTCTATACCTCTACCAATCCATGGATTCTGAAAATTAAATGCGGTAGGACTCTATTGTGCATAAAAACTAAAGATCTTCGCTCGTTCAGCGTTATATCTTCTGAATAACTGATACGAATAACTGATTGTTTAAAGAATCAAGCTACATACTCGCATCACCATTTAAATTTCCAGGTAAAATATGATAACCTATTAATTTTTTACTCTCATCACTATTAATTCTCATCACACTAGTAGTGTGCATTATGAGAGTTAAACATACCTTGTCGTGTAAATGTGGCCTCGACCGTAAAAAGAATGCATTTGAAAAAATTTGGATTGAGGGTTGTCCTTTCTTGTAATGTTTCACACAAATCCATTTTAACCGGTAGATCGTCTGGCAATAGCTCTTGGACTTGTCTATAATGCTAAGGATGTAGCTGCTGCTCGTTAAGTATCTGCCAAGTACTTGAAGACGTATTTGTTTGTCTTTTCATATTGCTTACACTAACTGTTGGATCTTGATCAAGTAAATTTAAAATAATATTTCCTTTATTAATTGTTCTACCAGAATTTATTTTATTTGGTCTCACATTCCCAGTTTCTCGATAATATCGTTCAACGGTTCTAAATATTTTTTACTTGTTTCTTGTAGGAAACTTTTCTTCATAACTCGTAAAAGCTGCACCAGAGTTTCCTTAACACTTGCCTAAGGTTAATAAAATGTTCAACAGTAAGATGTATTCAACATTTGAGCACATTTTGATTAAAAAAAATCTAATTATTGTTGACTTATCGTCATAACAATCAATAAATGTCAGTTTCCCAGGGCACATGTAGAGAAAATTGAGATATACCTATTAGAACTTTATCATTACTTTATACCAACATCGGTTATTACTTCATAATTTTCAACTCAAAATATTCCGAAAACGGTACACAGTATCGAGATTTACTAAGAGTACCTTTTTAGTGTAAAATTTTATTATGTTTTTGTTTACTTGGAATTTTGATTTATAATTCTAACCTTAAAAAAGTTATGCCAAATAATACTTGGTACGAATCTTGTTACTAGCGCCCTCTTTGAGAGTCTGATATAAAAACAAATTCATGGGATGTATTAGCTTTCAAAACATCTTCGTATGAAATTTCCTTACAATGCTGCCAGTAGTTTCGATAAAATCGTAAAAAATGTGTAACATATTTTTTCTTCAAAGCCCTTTATCTTGAAAACGGATGGCGTTACAAAAATTTTTTACTATGCAGACCCCAATTATTTTTCGGCTTTTTACCTATCCTAGAGACGGCGTTACCTTTTTTTTGAAATACCCTGTATAGAGCCATTATAGAATGGTAGTTAGAGTAGGTCATGAAATTTGGGTATTACTAATGATAGTTACACAACATAGAATTCGATGTCAGATGATTTAATGTCTCAAGAGATTTTTGATAACAATAGGTACAATTAAATTTCATTTCTAACTAGGTACACTTAAGGTACACCATAGGTACAATTAAGTTTCATTACCAATTCATAAACTGGAAAATCTTGCATATAGTGTTATTTTGTTATAGTGTATTTTTATGTATGAGAGAGTAATAAAACAATAAATTATGTATGCAAATCCCTAAACTGTTGATACGGGTGACTCAATGAAAAACAGATATTTGTCAACAAGTTTACAGAAGTATATAGGAAAACAATTTTAAATTGAGTATGACCACCAGGTATAAAGGTTGGAGCAGAATAGAATACAATAGTTGTGAGGGTTACTAATCCCTAAATAAGGTTGCCAGTGTCGGAGTGATGGAGGTTAACAGGTACTAATGAATTTGCAAGAAATGTAAGATGTTTATTTTATTGGTTATATATAACCAATAAAAGTTTAATAAGTACCTACCTATTTGCAAAATAAAGTTTAATTCTTTAGATAAAATAAAACGTTTTATTTTATCTGAAATGAGTGCATTCCACGAAGTAAGGTTTCAACAATCAAACATTTAATTCTTTAATTCCAGGAATCTACGACAGTAATTGACTAGATAATTACCTTCTAAACTTATTCCACAGAAAATGTGATAGTGGGTTTTTCCATTTTGTAGGAAGGTCCAAGTGGCGTATTCAAAATTCTCAACAGTTTACTAAAAGTAGGTACTTCAGTTGCAAGGTGCAGTTTATTATGTATACTAGTGTTATGGAAAATTTGGAAGTGCCGTGTAAACGCCGAAAAATTGGTCCTTTAACAGTTAATGAAAAAACATTAATATTTAATTGTTTTAAATCATTTACAGACAAACGTTTATGTGAAAGTGTTGATGAGACCGTTGAGTTAGTTAGCAGTACACTTGGTGTTGGGAAATCTACGATTTACAGAGTTATTAAAGAAGAGAAATGTGGTAGTTTTCAAATGCCACGTAATGCTCCAGGGAAACCAAAATTTCAAATAGAATATCATTTTAAAGAAGGACTTCGACGGAAAGTACATGAATTCTTCTTTAGACAAGAATTTCCAACATTGGATAAAGTTCTTGTCTCAGTTCGAGATGATAAGGATTACCCAGAAATGAGTCGATGTACGTTATGGAAACTTTTAAAAGAAATAGGCTTCCGCTGGAAAAAGAATCCCAGAAAGTCTATTTTATTAGAAAGAAGCGATATTGTCATATGGAGAAGACATTTTCTAAGAACCATAAAGGAAATGAGAAACCAAAAAAGAAAAATATTTTATCTTGATGAAACATGAAAGGCACGCTTTTGTAAATAACTTATCTACTGGTTTAAACCCACCATCAGGAAAGGGACGCAGGCTGATAATAGTACACATTGGCAGTTCAGACGGTTTTGTTGAAGGTGGTTTATTAACTTTTGAATCAACTCGTACCGGTGACTACCATGAAGACATGAACGCTGATGTCTTTCATGAATGGTTCGAACAAATGATAGATCTTCTTCCTAAGAACTGTGTAATAGTAATGGATAATGCAAGTTATCACTCCAGACTTATAGAAGGACTGCCCACAACCAAGTGGTTAAAAAAAGACTTGCAGAATTGGCTGAGTTCAAAAAATATTACGTACCATCCCGGATCTATAAGAAAGGAACTTTATTCGTTGTGTGCCCTTCATAAAGAAAAATTTAAAAAATACGAAATTGATGAAATTGCCAAAAATCTTGGAATGACAGTACTTAGATCCCCACCATATCATTGTGAATTAAACCCGATTGAACTGGTATGGGCACAGATAAAGAGTGAAGTTTCAAGAAAAAATACCACTTTTAAAATTCATGATGTTAAACAGTTGTTTTTGGAGGCCGTAAATAATGTAAAACCTGAAAACTAGGAAAAGACAGTAAATCACACTATTAAAGAAGAGGAAAAAATGTGGAAGCTGGACAATATTACTGATAAAATGATCGAGCCAGTTATTATAAATCTTGGTTCTGAAAGTTCATCTTCTGAATCTGATTTGGATTTATAACAAGTAGCTGTAAGTTTTATATTAATATTTTTATTCATCTATTTAACATACCTTAGACGGTTTTAAAAACTCTTTTTCTCTTTTGTAACTTTTAAAAATTTAAAAAAATGTGAATTTTTTAAAACCCTTTTTAATGTAGGCCAGTCAGTTCTAATATAGTGTGTGATAAAAGAGGTCACTTTTGTTTACATACACATAACACTTTATAACACTGAAATAATTCATTTATTTTTTACAATTATTCAAAGTAATTTTTCAATTAATCTTGAGCACGCCCATGGAGTGGTCGAAGGTACCAGTTAAAATTATGGTAATTACTCTCTCGTTCATAAAAATAAACTGTAGTTGCAGAGAAGAGTAGTGGATGTGGAGACTTGAATGAACAATTTTTTTTTGTAGTATTGTGTAAAGTTTGAATCTAATTTGGTTTTAAAAACAAACAGAAACATTTGATATATAAAATGTATATATAATTCTCTCCTTTTTCTGGATGTGCTAATCACAAAAGAAGACAGGATATGCAACTAAAGTCTGCAGAAAGCCAACTCACACCAACAGAAGTTTAAAATACTACTCCAACCACAACGTAAACATCAAAAAAGGAATTATCAAATCATTATATGATAGAGATAGAAGCACCTGCTCTAATAAAAACGCATTTTAAGAAGAAAAAACCTGCTGTTTTCACTAAAAATAACTATCCATTGTCATTTATAAACAAATATTCCCACAAGATTCAAGGAAGGAAACAACAAAACACCACAAGAAAGGATTCAAAGATGACAACAATACCATATGGGCTTATCAGAAAAAGATGCAAAACAAGTACATCACAACAACATTCAAAACAACCTACACAGAGATCTATCATGTCCAAAACCAAACCCAACAACACATAAGAAATAACATACCTCGGACAACCAGGCTGAGACAATCATGAAAGAAACAGACATGAAAAAGAGAAAAGTCAAAGAAGCAGCTCTCATCCTACTTAACGAAGAAAAATGTGCAGCAATCCCATTAGCAGAATGTAACAGGCTTTGATCGTTAATACTAAAAGAAAAAGTCAATAACCAGAATATACCAACAATAACGCTGTTATAAGAAGTCGGAGAAATGTCACTTACAATTTATACACAATACATTTAAATTCAAAGATGCGATTTGTAAACATGAATTTATGGGTGATTTTAGGGTGATTCACGCAAGTCTAGCATAGTTCATCATCTTTATTTTTAACCCTTTCAATATGATATATTAATCTCTTGAGCACAAATAGTCTACAGAATAAACAAAAGAAACTAACAAAAATCTCGTAAACATACAGAAACACGTGGGCGAGTCATAACCAACCCAGCCCGTGTTTGATGTAGACTGTGAATGAAAATCTTCTTCCTCTTCTTGTAGTGCCTATAAGTTTCGGATGTTGGCGACCATCATGGCGATATGTATTTTGCAAACTGCTACTCTGAAAAGATATGTTGTTGTGTTGAACCACGTACGTAGATTTTTCAGCAAGGAAATCCTTTGCCTTCCTGGTCCCCGTTTTCCTTGTAGAATTAATTGCAGCAATACATATCTTTCACTGTTCCTCATGATGTGACCGAGCTCCGAACTCTTCCTTTTTGCATTCTTAATAAAACGTCCTGGTTGCTAACGTAGTAGGTATAGGATATAAAGCCACATTTCGATAGTCTCAATTTTCTTGTAGGTAGAGTCTGTGAGAGTCCACGACTCAACTCCGTACAACAATATAGGAAAGATATTACATCGTAGTAACCTGATTTTTATGGGTACTGATAAATCAAAGCATTTGAACAGCTTAGCCATTTTTCGAAATACAGATCTTGCTTTCTTTATACTACATTTGATTTCTAGGGAATGGTCCCAATTTTCATTGACGTCCGTACCAAGGTAGGTGTATGTTTTTACTCTTTCTATTGGTTGACCATTCACACTGATTCTTTCAATTTGCTGTTCCTTCTTAGAGATGATCATACATTTTGTTTTTTTAATGTTAGTGAAAGCTCATATACCTGACTCACTTCTGTGATTCTATTCATTAACTCCTGGAGGGCTTCATAACTATCAGCGAATACCACGGTGTCATCCGCGTATCTGATGTTATTGATACATTCTACGTTAATTCGAATTCCGGCCTTCTTCTACTGCTTCTTGAAAGATTTTCTCAGAGTATATTTTAAACAGCAAGGGTGATAGTATACATCCCTGTCAGTCCCCACGTTTGATTTTAATATTGGATTCTCCTGCCTCTGTACGGATAGACGATGTTTGATTCCAGTAAAGATTGTTAATAATTCTTAGATCACAGATTTTTATTCCAATATTTGTTAATATTTCCATCAGCTTGTCGTGTTTTGAATGAATGAAAATGACTACTTTTTATAGGTAGACTGTACAGCGAAGACTGTACGTACATTACTGAGTGATTCTATCCCAATACATTTTAGAGCCGCTTGTAGCGATGCAGTATTTTTTTAAATTATTTGAAGGGTTATAATATAGTATAGGAGACAAATGGACGAGGAAATGGAGAGCCTGGAGGTGGGGGAAAATGTAGAGGAACTGTGGACAAAATGTAAAAACATAATAACTGAGAAAGCAACAAAAATATTGGGGAAAACCAAACCAGTTAAAGAAAACGAATGGTTTGACAAGGAGTGCCAAGAAGCAACAGATAACAAAAACAGGGCATACCTAAAGACAAATCAAGCTGGATGCACAAGAAGAGCAAAGGAAGAATACAGGACACTAAGAAGAGAAGAAAAACGATTACATAGAAGAAAAAAAAGACAATTTGAACAAAAGCAATTGGAAAGCACAGAATGGCTAAGAAATCAAAATGAAACTTTGTTTCTGAAATTAAACTGAAAAAGTTCTACAGAAATCTAAACAAAATGCGCAAAGAGTTTAAGCCAAGAATAAGGAGCTGTAAGGATGTAGAAGGAAACATCCTAAATGATACGGCCTCAATCCTAAACGGATGAGTTGCATTTTTCGATGCAAAATTTAATGGCCATCATATCGAAGAAGCAGATAACACCCTAGCAAATCGAAATGATTTTAATCCTATCAACCCAAACGAAAGACCACCTACCATCGAAAACGTTGCCCAAGCCATTAAAAAGCTTAAAAATAATAAATCACCAGGAGTTGATCAAATTTGCAGTGAGCTCTAAAAGAATGGTGGCGATGCCCTACTACAGACACTGCACAAGCTTTTACTTCTTGTTTGGCATAATGAAACTATGCCTTGTGAATGGTCTCAAGGCGTGATTTGCCCGTTACATAAAAAAGGTGACCAGCTCCAGTGTGACAACTATAGAGGTATAACCCTGTTAACAACTGATTACAAAATACTAGCAAATATTCTCTACGAAAGGTTGCAAGTTTACACAGTGGGCATAGTTGGTAAATATCAAGTTGGATTCACTCCAGAAAAATCAACAATTGACCAGATTCATTCAATAAGACAGATTCTCGAGAAAACATTAGAATTCAATATTGAAACCCATCACCTATTCGTCGACTTCAAGGCCGCATACGACAGTGTCAAGAGAACAGTGCTATACCTATCAATGCATGAGTTTGGTATACCAGAGAAACTTATCCGACTAACGAGAATGACAATGTCTAACTTAGAAGCCACTGTTAGAATACAGGGAGAGAGTTCTAGATCCTTTGAGATAAAGGATGGACTCAGACAAGGAGATGCCCTGGCTTGCCTCCTATTTAATATTGCCTTAGAAAAGGCAGTCCGAGATACACTAATTAGGGATGGCGGTACTATTTACAATAGATCGATACAAGTCTTAGCATATGCTGATGACATTGACATAGTAGGGCGTAGCAAGCGAGATGTTGAGCAATATCTCCTAGAATTGGAAACAGCGGCGAAACAGGTCGGTCTAGTCATCAACGAAGACAAAACCAAGTACATGTTGGTTACAAAGGATCCGATAGCAAATGAGGAACGAGAAACAGTCTTTGGAAGTCATACCTTTGGACGTGTTGACAACTTCACATACCTTGGGTCGCTATTGACTGCTACCAATAAAACAAGCGAAGAAATCAAAAGACGAATAAATCTTACAAATAGGGCATACTATGGACTCCAAAAGCATTTCCACTCAAGAAACATTAAAAGAAGAACTAAAATTATTATATACAAAACATTGCTGAGGCCGGTCCTCACATATGGAGCAGAAACATGGACTCTAACGCAGAAAGATGAAAGACTTTTGGGAATATTTGAGCGTAAAATACTCCGCAAAATATTTGGAGCTGTAAACGACCAAGGGCAGTGGCGCAGAAGATATAATTTTGAATTGTATCAGCTCTTTGATGAGCCAGATGTCATAACGTTCATTAAAACACAGCGACTTAGATGGACTGGACACATAATACGAATGCCAGAAAATACCATTGCTAAAAAGCTAACCACAGGAACACCTGTAGGAAAAAGAAGCAAAGGCCGACCGCGAATTAGGTGGTTAGATGGAGTAGAAACCGACTTACGAATATTAAAAATCAGAAGATGGCAACATGTTGCCAAAAACCGAACAGAATGGCGACGAATCTTAGAGCAGGCCAAGATCCACAGAGGATTGTCGAGCCAAAGATGATGATGAAGGGTTATAATGGTATTTTTTTTTAAATTAGTTAAATACACACATCAATTTTCTAAATTAAGTCCAATATATTGGATTTTGTATTTAAGATCTTGACGAAAATTATACATCATTTCAAAATTTCACCTTGTATTATTCATAATAGTCCTACATAATATAGTTTGTTAAGATCAGGGTGGCAAGTAGATTTTAAAAACATTAAAATATACAGGGAGTTCCATTAAAAATAAAGATAATGGACTATGCTAAACTTGCGTGAATCATTCAATACATTTGAATTAATGTTTAAAAAGCGCATATTTATATATAAAAGTCGATGGGTCCCAGCGATTTTTATAGTTTTTTTTTTAAACAAATCAGAAATAACTTTTTTCCATAAGTGAGTTTCACCCTATATAAAAAAAATATCCACAAGAAAAAAGATTATTCCAACCTACTCTAATTAGGATTTTTTTCTACGGCTCTATATTTAATAATAATTATGCATTATATTTATTTCAGGTACTAAATCCTTACATTTACGGAGTAGTTGAAGAAATGGCGAATTTGCAAATTTTAAGGAATCAGCTTAATTTCTTGAGGGCCTATTTATTTACTTGTAGAGAGCCAGTAATAGAGGAATTACAGAAACAGATGTGGCCTAGAGAATATATGTATGAACATATTCATCAATATTCAATTTTGGTAAGACTTTTTGTAATACCTTTTTTTGGAGAGACCATTTGTTCATTATTGTTTATTTTAGGACCTTTCTGACGTGACTAGTGGTTTATTAGCACAACAATTGGAGAAGGTAGTTGCGTTTGGAAGAGAGCATGTCTATAGTTGCTGGCTGTGTAGTCAAAAAGGATTTGTCTGTGAAATTTGCAATAAGCCCAAGGTATTATTTCCATTTGACGTTGAATACATATTCCGCTGTGATGTTTGCAATGCTGTGTATCACAAAACTTGTTGGAATTCAACAAAATCGTGCGGGAAGTGCAAAAGGAAAAAAGATAGAGAGGAATTATCTCTTTTGGGTTATATCGCAAATGAATAGTGTTTTTCTTTTTCTACTTATCAAACAGGACCTACTTATTGCTTGTAATAGAAAGATGGACTTTTATTTTATTGATCATACTATCAGATTTATTTTATCGGCGACTTAATCAGAGTAACGTTTATGAAAATTCTGAAATATAACATGCAAGGAAAAGTATACATATAAAATACTATTTAATTAAGTTATTATACGAGTATACACCTCTCATAATATGTAACAATTTCATCATTCAATTTGTTTTGACTTTTTAAATTAAACAATAATAAAATACATAGGAATTTATTATGTCATATTTTACATCATTCCATAAATAACAACGAAATATTCTTATATGTCAATGTTACAATATCTAAAATTACACTTATAATGACACTGAACAAGACATGTTAAAAAAGAAAAAATATCGATTTAAAATATGATGTGTTAAAATATTTGTATATCAATTACTTTCCCAATCCAGGCTAAAATCCTCATCAACATGATAAAATGCTTGACTTATAAATTCCTGTTTTACTATGTGTTTTTTTACTATGTGAGTTTTTTTATAGTTGTAATTAGTCAGCGTTATTGATCAGCTGTTATTTAGAAGTTCTGCAGTAATGAAATTCAGTTATTTTAATTAAACATGAGTTCCTGATTTATTTTGGGTAGTATAAAAATCTTTGTTTTTCATATTGTAAGAGTGGTTCATTGCTCTTGTGGAAAGGCAAGGTGTAGTAAGAAATTTTAACTTCTTTTTATTTTCAAGCAAGCTTTCTAGAATCAGCGTTTACTGTGTCTGTTTTCCATAAAAATATTCCCTATTGAAAATGGCAATGTACTATAGCGAAATTCACACTGAGAGAGTACGCGGTTAAGATGGGAATTGGTGGATTTCTTGCCATGTGCTTTGCAGAACAAAAAAAAGGACCAAGCAGTGTTCATGTACAGAATCGTACAAAGATTTTTAGAACAGGGCTCTATTACGAGGAAAAATACCTTTTTTGATTTTAATTTAAAATGCAAATTAGAGAGATATTTGATATTTATTATAAAGACATACATTTACAAATAATTGTCTTTAAGTAGTCAGATAGAAGGCATGCATTTTAATAAAAAAACTTAAATGAAAAGGTTTAATGAATATCTGACCCACATCTAAATAATCTTCATATGCTATTTGGAGAGCTTCTTCAAAAGTCAAACCCTGCCTGAAAAAAATAAATAGTAGCGTATTGACCTAGCGGTGCCATATGGGCAACACTCATCACGGTCACTATGAATGCACCTCACAGAATAATGTTATGTATTTTACATTATTACTAAGATTTCATCTGTTTGTTTGATATTTATTACGAAATTACGCAAAAAAATTACAACTTAACCAAATATTACTTACTCGAATTGAATGCCTATTTAGAATGTAACCACTGTAATACGCTGTTTACAAAAGTCTTTCGCCAACATGTAAATTCACATTAATGCCCCATCTGTTACAGAACACAAATTTTAAACACTAGGAATATTTGTGTAGACACCCGATTAGCGTTGCCGTATGGAAACGTTGGGCTAAAATGGGTTAATATAATTTCATTTGGGACTCGTATCTCTTAATATTAACCCCAACATCAATTGCTGTATGGCTCGTTGAGTTATTTTGATTTTTCCACAATTTTTTTAGTGAGTGTCAATATTTCTGTAAGCTTGCTAATTTTACTCGTCTTTTAGTTTCACAGGTTTGGTTATCTCGACCTATCCTAATTTCGCGACCTAAGTGTTTATAGGGTGTTACATTCGATCTCTACGCCATTTACACTGTTATATTGGGGTATAATTTATGTATACTTTTCTTTTAATAAAATGTAGAATTTATTTATTGTTACGAATAATTATTCAGTTAGATATTTTAAATTTGTGATGTTTTATATGCAAACAAAATCTGTAACAAATAAATGTGGAGTCAGAAAATGTTGTATAGTGAGCCCAATGCTTTTTAACATTGTAATACGAGAGAGCATCCCAAAATAGCGCACAGAAAATGTGGAAAAAGTGAATGGAATGTTGATAAATAATTAAAGATATACCCATGACACTTATAATTTTAGACAGTTCAGAGAGCTTGCAGTGTTTACGGTGTCTTAGCACAAGAGCAGCTGAAGGAGATCTATTGGGTTTAAAAATTAATATCGAAAAAACAAAGATATTTCAACCATTAGGGGAAAGGTGGGCAAAATGGGGTACGTAAGATTTGAACTTACATATTTCATACACGGTATTAAAAATTATTTGTTTCAAGCTGTAAGCGTAATCTCTATGAAATAATAAGTAAAAAAATAATATTGCGTGACATAGTAGTTTTGACGTTTCTGATGTATACTAATAGTTTGACGCATGTGTCATTTGCCCCACCTATGGGGCAGAACAGGGTACCTCCTAAAAGCTAAAGTCAGAAGGTAAAAAATATCTTTATTTTTGTATTCATAAGTATTGAACAATAAAATACATATGTATCTTTAATTATTTTCGCATAGAGCGCATAAGTGTGTAGCATCATCGTCATCTTCATCAACTCCTGCACACGAATTATGTGCCCATTTGGAGCAATATCGGCAACGAATCCACCCTTCTTCAGAGAAGTCACGGCAGTATAGACACTCATCTTCTGCAGCCTCTTCTTCACTATCAGATGAAGCAGGAGTAGGAATTGGCATTTTTTTCTGAATAGTAGATGATGTTTTTTGTTGTTTGGCTGGTTTAACAGTGCCTTTTTTATTTTTAAGCAGATTTCTTTTTACGGTTTGGTCTGCTTTTCCTTGCCTTTGATTTTCAGCATTCCGCAACTCGTCCTTATATGGCGATGATGTCAAAATCACAGTTTTTCCACGATTTCTGGTAGTCCTTTTACTTGTCTGTGATACTTTGGGAATTGGCAAAATGATTTGGGGACTAGCACCTTTAAAACTACTACAATTCAGATCTGGTTGAGAAGTTGAGTAAATGGAAGATTGTGCCGAAGTCGATGGACTGAAAATATTTTGTACAATCATGGATGGTTGGGACGAAGTTAGATGGATGGAAGTTAGATGTTGCTGGCCTGGAGGTGACTGGGCAGAATCTTTGAACGCTGTAATACTCTGGACTTGCACATGGCCAGATTCCAGTTTTTCGAAAACCATTTATAGCTGTGCTCATCGCTGCAGCCTGTATAAAAGCGGCCCCAAATAACGAAGCTATCTGAAACAAGGTAACGACTTTTCCAGGATTACATCTCAACCATTTACGTACTTCATCCTCGTAGTACTTACTTAACGGTTTCATAAATGCCACGTCTAGTGGTTGAAATCGGTGAGAACAATGGGGCGGAAAACACAACAAAATTACCCCATTATCTCGTGCAAGATCAATTAATTCCAAGCTCTTGGTATGGGTGGAGTGTCCATCTAAAACAAGCAGAATTGGTTTCTCTTTTTTGGCTCGGGTAAAAGAAATAAATCTTTGAAACCAAACAACAAACAGTTCCTTGATCATCCACCCAGTCTCCTGAACATCAGCAAACGCACCCGATGGAAGTCCAGTCTGGAATTCTTGGTGCATGCGTTTTCTGGGAAAAATTAACATTGGGGGAACATATGTCCCGCTAGCGGAGAAACAACAGCGGTAACAATTTGACCTCGTTCAGCTGAAGTTAAAATTCTGACCTGACGACGTCCTTTCTTGGAAATTACTTTAAAATGACCTTTAGGATTTACTGTTAAGCCCGTTTCGTCGCAGTTATATATTCTATCCCCTGTTAACTGATGGGTATCCAAAATATTTGAAAGAAGGTCGAAAAATTGTTTTACTGCGACTTTATTAAACCCCATTGCTCTAGCTGACAAGGTAGCTTCTGGCTTTCGTAAGCTAAGATTAGGATGCCTATTCAAGAATCCTTTTACCCAGTCTAAACCTGCTTTTAAATTTTTAAACGGATGAACAATGTTGTTGCGTTCTGCTAAATCATAAGCAAGTTCTCTTAATTCATGCATGGTCAGACCAAATAGTTGAGCTTCCACGGTGGTCAAATAAACTGCTAGTTCTGCTTCTTGTTCTATTGAAAAGATACATTTATAACGTCCAAGCGTTTTCTGAATTTTGTATTCGGAATTGTTTCGCTTTTTTTTAACGTAGCGCTCTAATGTTGTTTGGGGTATATTAAATTGCTCAGCCGCTTTCTTATATCCCATGAAACCATCTATAACTAGTTGCACTGCCTCGTGCATCTGTTGTTCACTCCAACTTTGTTGTCCATCTGTTTTTCTTTTATAATTTCTTACCATTATTATCTGAAGAAAAATAAAATGTAATTAGAATAATCAAACACCAAACATATCAATTCATGGGGCAAAATGGGGTAGTACCCCATTTTGCCCTACCCCGTTTTGCCCCAGCTGCATCAAATTCATCGACTTTGGCGCGCTGTACAGCCAAACGGCGGCATCAGGTGATGTCGGACCACGTGAACACGAAATTCCTGGAGATGTAGCTCAATTGCAATAGTGGTTTGGAAAATAAGAGGGGTACCCCGTTTTTCCACACTACCCCGTTTTGCCCCCCCCCCCCCTTCCTCTACATATAAATGTCTGCGAAAAATATTTACATAAGCATTCCATGAGCAAGAACCTGGGAATTTGGGGCGATGAAAATTCTGGCGTAAAATTCACTTTTGAATAGGGTTGCAGCGTAGACGATAAAAGTTAGCAGCCTCAATATACTTGAGGCTTTGAAATTTGGGTAAATCGAGGAATGTTGAGTTGAGGGTGGTAGCCCACACCACCAACTTGGAAGTTTTGCGTTAAATGAGTAGAGAACGTGAGCTGATCGAAATCATTGAAAAGCGGAAAACTGCATATGTTAATTATTTTATTTAGTATGAAAATCAATAATTTTATACCACAACCTCTCTTTCTATAATTTATTAAATTTGTTTTAATATTATATTAATTTTGTCCATCAGCATTTCCATAATAGGCCAATTAAATTAGTTTTTCATTAGATATAAGTATATTGACGGGTTTGATAGTTGAAACGTGTAATAGAGATACTATAAAGATATCTTGAGATTCATTAATTTTTTACTGTGACTATTTTTAAATAAATAGTAAAAACGTCAAACTCATTATTCTGCTCATAGCTTACTAACTTGTCTATTTAGAGATTTGGCTAGAGAAAACAAAGATACACAAAATGAGATACGTTTAATTAAAATCAGTTAATAAACAACAAGGTTCTTGTTGCA